TATACATACTCTTTTGGTTTCTGTACCCAATATTTTAAAAATGTACAAATGCAATAAAATATTGGTATCGGTACTCGGTACCAAAAATAAAAGTATCGGTATCGGGCGAGTACTGGAAAAAGTGGTATCGGTGCATCCCTATACATAATATAATTTAAAATGGGCATTTTCCTTTTTAATGTTTTTACATGTAATTTATTGACAATAATGTTATAAAGACTTTCTTATTATTATCAATGTGGAAAACAGCCATATATTTTTGGAAACCGTGATACTTTCACGATACCGTGAAATTTAAAAATAAATAAATAAATAAATATTAAATAGAAATCTTTTGTAACATTTCCCTGCTGAAAAAAACAATAGACACCATCACAAAATTCGTAATGGTTTTACTGGTCATAATGGGACTTGTATTGGTTTTAATGGAAACTGTGATGGTCTCTGTGGGTTTCTGGTAATTGGTCGCCTTCTATTGGTGCCTTGTTAAAACCACTAAATCCTAATGGAATATGTCCCAAAACACACTACAGAACCCCATTTTTTAATAGTTTTAATGTTTGTAATGGTATTTGTAGTGGAAACCATTAGAATTTATGTGATGGTTTCTATTGTTTTTTTTTCAGCAGGGTTTAAATGTCTTCACGGTCACTTGCAATCATTTAATGTGTCCTTGCTGTTAAAAACTCTCAACAATTAAACTATTGATTTCTTAAAAACAAAAACAAAAAACAAAACATGCTTTTGGGGTCAGTCACAGTGTATGACTGTGAAACACAAAATAAAATAAGATATTTTCAAGAATATTCGTTTTCTATGTTTTTAATACAATGAAATCTATGGGATCCACTGATCCAGTTTTCATTTTTGTTTGAACTTCAAGTAAAGGAAGGTCAATAAAAAAAAGTCAAAAGTACATGTGCTTAAGTATGTGCTTAAGTGTGTGTGTGTGTGTGTGTGTGTGTGTGTGTGTGTTGAAGGCAATTCCAAGGAGCCTATACTGGGCTATTTATTCACCAGAGACTCCTGCCTTTGTTTTTCCCACACTTAAATAAAAAGACGTGAGGTCAGCCTCAAGGGACTGCTTGCTTTTTAGATATTCGCATGCATTGATGTGACCCCCGATTACAGTGAATGTCAAACACGCACACGGAAAGTGATGACGTCGCTCAGAGCAAACAATGTCAAACGACAGAACTCTGAATTGAACAACTAAATTTTTATAATGCTAGGGTTTTCTATGTGGCTGTTAGGTGGTTACTTAAGCCTCTATGATATTTTGGTTCCAACAACAGCTTATTGTGTTCTTTCCAGCAGGTATTATTACCCAGAACTTGTATTACTGGAGGAACTATCCACATAACATGTCACTGTAAGTTATCTCTCTCTTTGCACTCTAGGTTAAGGAAGTCAAACAGCAAACAGTTTTCAGGACTAAACAATATCATGATGCTCAATTGTAAAGCAAAGTGAGAGTCCATGATCTTTAACATCCAAGTCTGTGAGGATCTTTAAAAGTTCGTAATTATTGTCGTCATTTGCTGAAACACAATGTTCGTTTTAGTGGCAAGGATTTTGCTGTGGTCTCATAGTGAAAGGAACACTTACCAGACCTTGAGGTTGTTGATTGTTCAAATGTTAACATTAGCATGCTTAGCCGAAACCAATGAGAACAATTTGGGCTTTACTATCAAAACAGTTTCTCTAATGAAAACACGCTAACCACACTTTCCGCTTTCAAAAACAAACTGAACAGAAAAAGAGACAGAAATATTTTGTGTTTAGCACTTTTCAGTATGAAACACCTGCTCAATCTCCTAAGAATTAGGAACAGAGCTGCAGCCAGTAAGATTATTAACAGGCCCTGAGCATTTCATTCACATTTTCAGTTCATCTGTCCACTGTAATACGCAAAGAGCTGCATACCCAACACATCTTTCTACTTCTTCTACTGTAAACAACTACTAAACATTCTCCCTATAAACCTTTTAAGACAGACCTATAATGAACACAGTGGTTGTTAAGGCTCGCTATATGCCAGAAGCCACAAGTCAGCTTTATTTTTAATGTTTAATACAGTGTATTAAGTGCCCACTCACTTTTTTTAGTGGTCTTTGCTCAGGTGGTCTTTGCTCAGGAAGTATTTTACCCATAGGGATTTTTTAAAGTCTTGGTTAAAGCGTTATATACCAGCCAGCTACAAGGTCAATCACAACATTTTACTGGAAGTAAGAATAAAAATGGAAAATCAGACAAAAAGACAAAGGTACAAGACTGTGTACAGCTTTATTAAGAGAAACCACAACAACCCCATCAGGGCTCCAAACTGAGACTAAAACGGTCGCATTTGCGACCAAAAATATTAAATTGCTGATTAAATTAAATTTTTGCTGAGGTCGCCACTGGCGACTAGGCCTATGTATTTACATGTTATAACTTGTTTCCTGATTGTGTTGCGATCACATCTTTTGTTATGTTCGCGTATTAAACTGAGACGATGCGCATCAAAGTTTTAGTGGAAAAAAAAGTTTCAAACAGTCCTCATCTCTGCAGCACACCTGCTAAACGCAGCTCAGTTGTGCAGCGCGAGAGAGATCGAAATGACGGAGACGTAAGAAGTGAAAGTGCACAAAAGCAGCGCCTATTTCATGCACAACTTGAACAAACTACAACAGGTAAAGCTGTCAGCTGTGTGGATATTGGCAATATCGTTAACAATTCTCGTTTATAATCATTAATAATATGGCTTCTTAACAAGATCTTAGTCTATGCTGTGTTCTGTTAAAGGGGTCATATGATGCTGCTAAAAAGAACATTATTTTGTGTATTTGGTGTAATGAAATGTGTTTATGCGGTTAAAGGTTCAAAAAACACATTATTTTCCACATACTGTACATTATTGTTTCTCCTCTATGCCCCGCCTTTTTGAAACGTGTAGATTTTTACAAAGCTCATCGGTCTGAAAAAGCGAGGTGTGTTGTGTTTGGCCGAATACCTTAATCGCATCATATGACCCCTTTAATGCGTGAACTTCATTATTTGAAGCGCACTTGCCGTGCAGTAATCGCAAAAAGCTTTGTGCTTTGTTACTTTTTAATAAACAAAGTATCAGCTTTAAAATTATTCAAAATTCATAACGAAATTCAAACAATAAATACAGTTTTG